GGTCGATTTACAGGGCACGTCCATTCTCTGCCCGGGAAAAGGGCCGCAGGCAGAGGCAGACGCCGCCACCGCCCATCGCCCAACACAAACAAACACCGCGGAGGGTCGTGTTTATTAGTCACAATTGCCTGCAATGTCAATCGTTTAGTTCCTGTTCTGTTCTAGCCCAGCGAGGGCCCCGTATTTGCGTCCGCGAAGTTATTTAAACGGCTTCAAAATGCCCGCAATGAACGACACCGCCAATATTGTGAAGATAGCAGTGGAGATGGCTGAGCAAGTGCCACAACTGATAGGCTTCAATCAGAAACACTCGCTGGCAGCTATAATTCAAGATTTGTGCAACGGGTGGCAGTTGACGGAGCCAGAGCTTTATGCCCTGCAATTCACTGAGAACAATAACAAGAACTACGTTACCGAAAAGAATCGAAATGAAATAAAGAACGGCTCAATTCTTCGCCTAACCTTCTCACCATCTAAGACAGCAGAAGATATTTTGTTTAAAGTGAAAAATGGAAACTTGGATGAGAAGACACAAGCCCTGCAAAAGCTATCCCTTCTTAGTACCGACATGACTTTTGCTTTTGAATTCATTAACAAGCAAGGTCTTGCGCTGATAATATCTATGACAGAGGAAGGAAAATGTCAAGGTGCAACATTAGCGTTTTGCCTTCAGTCGTTTGTAGAATTAATGGACCATGGGATAGTTTCCTGGGACATCTTAGAATGTACATTTATTAACAGAGTTGCCAGTTATGTTAACAATCAGGCACCAAATCAAGACAATAAAGTTGTTCAGGCATCATTATCCATTTTGGAGAGTATTGTTTTGAATAGTTCAGCCAAGTTAGCACATTTGGAAAAGGAACTCACGTTTCCTAGCCTGGTTGTGCATCTTCAAAGTTCCAACCCAGTAACTCAACAAAATGCTATTGCACTCATTAATGCCCTTTTCTTAAAGGCTGATCATGCAAAGCGAAAGGCCATATCAGGGACACTTAATTCTCAAAAAGTGCGAAATGTCATACTTACCAATATTATTCAAGCTGCTTCTGGACAGGTGAATATTTTCCTTTGAATTGTGTATGTTTCTTGTTTATCTGTATTTGTTCTTTTAATTTTACCTCTTGTACCTGCTGCTTTTGTATCACAGGTCGGGACTGAGATGGCACATCAGCTCTACGTTCTACAAACTCACCAATTGGCTCTCTTAGAACAAAGAATGAACACCAAAATGGATCTACAAGACCAGGATGCACATGAAAAAATCAAAGAACTTCGGAGAATTGCATTTGATATGGATAACAACTCAAATAGTGGAGATAGCACCACACGAAGGTGTGGATACATTTTGGAATCAAATTAACATAGCATTTTAAGTGGTTTATTTTTATTTTTATTACTCTGTTTGTTTCTTGTAGGCAAGGTTTTGCTAAAGACTACAAGAAGCTTGGGTTCAAATGTGATATCAACCCTGCTCTTGACTTTGCTGAAACACCACCTGGAATGCTAGCATTGGATTGTATGATTTATTTTGCCAGAAACCATGTTGAAAACTACACCAAAGTAAGTTTATGCTTTGCACGTTCCATGACATGATAAATCTAGTGTGGTTTTGAAATCTTTCTTTACTTAAACATTGACTTGTTCTGTGAATGTTTAAGGTTGTTCTGGAGAATTCATGTAGAGCAGATGAGCATGAATGTCCCTTTGGTCGTACAAGTGTAGAGCTTGTAAGACTACTTTGTGAGGTGCTGCGTATTGGAGAAGCTCCAAGTGAACAGGGTCATCATTACCACCCCATGTTTTTCACCACTGATCATCCTTTTGAAGAGTTTTTCTGTGTTTGTATAGTGCTTCTCAATAAAACATGGAAAGAAATGCGGGCAACAAAAGAAGATTTTGTGAAGGTAGCTTTTTATTTTATTTTCAAATTCCTCTCTCTCTCTCTTTTTTTTCTTCTCTTAACAAGTGTCATTAGATTAAATTTGATTTCTTCTTCCTCTTTAGGTGTTTAGTGTTGTCAAGGAACAAATCACTCGTGCACTGGCTGGTCAGCCATTATCTTTAGAGAAGTTTCGTGGCCTGCTTCAAGTTCTTACATATTCTGAAATAACCAACTTATGGCAGCAGGAACGGACAAGTCGTGAAGAGTGGGAATCTCATGCTAGACCAATTGTTGAGCTACGAGAACAAATAAAACCAGAAATAATTGAGCTTATTCAACAGCAGAGGTATGGTTTCCTAGCTGAAGGAACAAGATTTACAAAATATTCACCTCGCGGTCAGGTAATTTATTTGTCAGTGTAACTGTACTTAGTGTTAAGGCAAATGAGAGTTTGTGATCTCAATATATAAATTATTTCTTTCTTTCTTTTACAGAGAATAAAAGACAAGTTCTGGTACATTCGCTTGTCTCCTAATCATAAAGTGTTTCACTATGGTGACTGTGATGAAAAAAGTGCTCCTCCCTTAGAAGACCTCTCCAATAAATTACCTGTTGTTGACATTAAAGCACTTGTAACTGGAAAAGAATGCCCTCACATGAAGGATGTTCGGTAAGATTAATTCATTTAGTGTACAGTGCTCTTTATCACCTTACCATCAAATGTACCATTTTTAACATCATATTTTCTTTCAGGGGTCGGAAAACAACTCACCAGCTTGCATTTTCATTACTGCTTGATTCAGTAGAAGTATCTTCCCTTGATTTTGTGGCACCAGATGAACAGGTGTTCGATTATTGGACTGATGGAATCAATGCACTTCTAGGTAACAACCTCTCTTTGAACAATCATTCTGTTTGACGACAGTGTAAGTCTATCTGATGCATTTGTTTCTCCCTTTGTTTAGGAAACAAGATGACAAGCAAAGAAGCACAAAATGATTTGGATACATTATTATCGATGGATATTAAGTTAAGGCTCTTGGATGCTGAAGGTGTGGATATTCCTCAAGACCCTCCCCCAATTCCAGCTGATCCTCCAAATTATGATTTTTGCTACGATTCGAAATAGGGCATGTTGGCTGCAGTGTTTCCCAACACTCAACATTAAAGTTTTTACGACTATGGTATTTTGATAAGCCAAGATTAGTTGACTATTCTAGTTCTCGGCCGTTATCATCAGAATTAGTTACGATTTTATATGACACTTATGAAATTCTCTTTTACAACTAGACTTATTTATTATCTCTCAGAATTGGTCCATGAATCTTGCTAGCTGAGGTACTGTAAAGTTTCATTGTCCTTGTGAGGTTGTTATGAACCTCTAAAATGTAACTCAAATGTAATTTAAATCATTGTTTCAATTTTTGTTTTATGTGTATGTGTGCTTGTGCTGTCAAACTCTGTT